CGGGATCCAAACCCGGGCTGCCAGCAGCGGAGCACGTGCACTTAACCGCTAAGCCGCGGGGCCGGCCCAAGATATTTACTTCTACATCTTTAAGAGTTTTAACTGGCGTCCCATTGTATGGTTGTACCATCATTGTTCCTGTTGGTTGAACTTTTAGATTATTTTCAGTTTTATGCTATTATAAACTGGTTTTTTTGCTATTATTAACATCTTTGTGCACTTCTCCAATTGTTTTCTTAAAGTTAATTCTTAGAAGTAGAATTCTTATGCTAGACTTTTTAAGGGTGTTTGATACATAAATTACTTTCTGGAAAGATCATACCAATTTATCTTACCCTAGGAAGTACAAAAGAGTACTTGTTTCCCTGAATCCTTGTGACCACCATAGGATGGTTATTTGTTCTACACATTTTTGAGCATCCTCAGTATGCCAGGCATTGTACAGCGGACCCCGCCTTCATGAAGCTGACAGTCTCTTTAATTACAGTTTTAATTTTTTTGTTTTTTTTTCCCCCCAAAGCCCCAGCAGATAGTTGTAGGTCATAGCTGCGTATCCTTCTAGTTGCTGTATGTGGGACACGGCCTCAGCATGGCCGGAGAAGCGGTGCGTTGGTGCGCCCCCCAGGGATCCGAACCCGGGCCGCCAGCAGCGGAGCGCGTGCACTTAACCGCTAAGCCATGGGGCCGGCCCTACAGTTTTAACCTTTACCAGCTTCATTGGTAAATAATGATACTGTGTTTTAGCCTGCATTTTTTATTGTAGTTGAAATTTTTTTTTCATATTTGCTGGCTCTTTGATTTCTTTCATGCGGTGTTCATATCCTTTGCTTATTATCCTATTGATTTATAAGTCATCTTTATATGTTAATACTCTACAGATTTAGGACACTAACTCTGTGTCTGTTACGTTCATCATAGATGATTTTTCCTTCCAGGATGTCATCTACTTATTATATTCCTAAGTAAATAATTTGTAATAAACAAGTCTGTCAGTCTTTTCCTATATTTCAGTTGTCATGCTTTCCTATATTTTAGTTGTTATGTCCTTCCCCTTACCTAATTTTTTTATATACAGTAGTCCCACCCTCATCTGTGGGGGATACGTTCCAAGACACCGCACTCCCCCGCCCCCCTGTGGATGCCCAAAACCACAGATAGTACCGAACCCTATATGTACTATGTTTTTTCCTATACATACATACCTATGATAAAGTTTAATTTATAAATTAGGCACAGTAAGAGATTAACAACAATAACTTCTCTTTGGCATATCTGAATTGCCAGCATCACTACTTTTGCAGTTTGGAGCCATTCTTAAGTAAAATAAGGGTTACTTGAACACAAGCACTGCGATACCTCAACAGTCAATCTGATAACCCAAGGTGGGTGGGTAGCGTATACAGTGTGGATATACTGGACAAAGGGGTGATTCACGTCCTGGGCAGGATGGAGCAGCACAGCATGAGATTTCATCATGCTACTCAGAATGGCATGCAATTTAAAACTTACGAATTGTTTATTTCTGGAATTTTCCATTTAATATTTTCAGACTGCGGTTGACCATGGGTAACTGAAACTAAAAAAAAACGAAACTGCAGATAAGGGGGGGACTACTGTAGTATTTCTGTGGTTTATTTTTTTTAATTTACGTTTTATAATTCAGCTAGAATTTGAGAGTAAGCTACAAGGCAGGGATGTAACTGTATTATTTTTTTCCAAAAATTAACCAGTTTTTATTAACAGCTTGTATTTAAAAATCTATGCTTTCTGCAGTGATGAAATACACTTTTATTATTTTTTATATAGACCTAGGCTTGCTTGTGGACTTTCTGTTTTGTTCCATTTATCTAGCTGTCTGTCCCTGTGCTCCTATTGTCGTTGGTCCTAGCTTTTAGTAGTGCAAGTGCCATTTTCATAGTTTTTTTTTTTTTTTTTAAAGATTTTATTTATTTATTTTTCCCCCAAAGCCCCAGTACATAGTTGTCTGTCATAACTGCACATCCTTCTAGTTGCTGTATGTGGGACGCGGCCTCAGCATGGCTGGAGGAGTGGTGCCTCGGTGCTCACCCGGGATCCGAACCCGGGCCGCCGGCAGCGGAGCGCATGCACTTAACCGCTAAGCCACGGGGCCGGCCCGATAGTTTTTTTTTCAAATGTTTAATCTTCCAGATGGATTTTAGAATAATTTTTTACTGGTTTCCAAAAAATTCCTTTGGGTGTTTTAATTTGAAAATTTTGTAAGGAACATGATATTGATGTGTTGCATTTTAGGTATGTGTAGGAAATTCATTTGGAGATGTCCTATATGCATTGGCATATATGGGCATGAAGCTCAGGTCAAGGAGTGGGGACAAGATATAAAGATTTGAGATTTTGGGGCTTATAGGTGGTATTCAAATCCTGGGACTGGATGAGCTTCCTTAGGGATATTTAGATGGAGACTAAGGATAGAACTCTGTGAAATGACATTTAAGAGGTAGGTAGAGGATCAAGGACTTGAAATATGATTGTTGTTGAAAGAGACAGTAGGGAAAGTGGAAAAGGCATGGGCTTTGACACAGTCAGACCAGCATTCAAATCTCAGCTCTACATTTACTAATCATGTGGCATTAATTTTCCTAAACTTTTATTTCTTCTTCTTTGGAATGGGAATAATACAACCTATTTTATAACATTATTTAGAGGATAAACTGAAGTAATAGGGACGCAATAAGGTATGTTAGGTGAGATAAGGTATGAATTTTAGAGTCCCTGTCTGGTTTGGATCCTTGCTTTACCATTTACTGGATTCATGGCCTTGGGAAACTATTGAGCTTCTGGCCCACACTTTCCAAATGAGTAATGATAATAGTACCTTTCTCATAGGAATATTTCAAGATTTAAATGAGATAATGCAAGTAATGTTCTTAGCACAATACCTGAGGCATAGTAGGGACTCAATGAATGTTTGCCTTGTTGATGATGATAGATATAAAGCATCTAATGCACAGCCTAGCACGTAGGTACTCAGTAAGTATTAGAATAGGCCTCCTGTCAGAAGCTTCTGAATAGGAGGGAGACCAATACCCTTCACAGAAGGTACAACAGGAGAAAAAGGATGAAGAAGAGTGATAGTGCACATTGCTACTGTCATTTGGCACATACCTGATTGGGTTAGAGAGGCATCTTATGGCATCCAGTTTGGCTTAAGGTATTTATCCCAAGCTTGTGATGAAGGAAACTATTTATTTTTTATTTTATTTATTTATTTATTTATTTTTTTGCGAGGAGGATCAGCCCTGAGCTAACATCCATGCTAATCCTCCTCTTTTTTGCTGAGGAAGACCGGCTCTGAGCTAACATCTATTGCCAATCCTCCTCCTTTTTTTTCCCCAAAGCCCCAGTAGATAGTTGTATGTCATAGTTGCACATCCCTCTAGTTGCTGTATGTGGGACGCGGCCTCAGCATGGCTGGAGAAGCGGTGTGTCGGTGCGCGCCCAGGATCCGAACCCGGGCCACCAGCAGCAGAGCGCGCGCACTTAACCGCTAAGCCACGGGGCCAGCCCAAGGAAACTATTTAGGATGAACTTATATTTCCCTCTTCCTCCAGGCAAACACAGAGCTGCCCAAGCTGAGTAGAGAAGAGCAGCGGGGTCGAGGTGCCCTCTTACAGGACATCTGCAAAGGGACCAAGCTGAAGAAGGTGACCAACATTAATGATCGGAGTGCTCCCATCCTTGAGAGTGAGTCTCAGCTTCATTTCCTAGTGAACCACCAGGATCCCAGGATTGACGTGGAGACTTGACTGGCTTGTCATTTTTATTGTTGGGCCTTGAGTTGGGAGAGTTTTGTCCTTTGGGAGAGTTTTCTTTGCCTGTCTTCCTATCTGTTCATTTTATTTTATTTCTTTATTTATTTATTTGTTCCCCCAAAGCCCCAGCAGATAGTTGTATGTCATAGCTGCACATCCTTCTAGTTTGCTGTATGTGGGATGCGGCCTCAGCATGGCCAGAGAAGCGGTGCATTGGTGCACGCCCGGGATCCGAACCCGGGCCGCCAGCAGCGGAGCGCGCGCACTTAACCACTAAGCCATGAGGCCGGCTCCGTGTTCATTTGAATAACTTAGAAATTTCTTACTAACCTTTGGGAAGCATTCTCAGGATTAAGACTCCTATCTCCTATTGTAATTGGTGCTGGTTAGGGCACATCTTTGGCTGTTCTCTGAGGAGACCACCATGTTCCTAAAAACCGCTAAGCTAAAGCCAGTGAAGTGTTTATAATTGCTACAAGTGTCCATTCTGGTAGGCCTCGGGAGAGTTTGCTCACACCTGGGTCCCTGAGTCATTGGCGTCCTTAGCATCTGGGACTTGGAGAGGAGAGCCCAGAGAACTCTATGGAACTTGTCTTTATCCTGGTTATCCTTCTGCCCTGAACAAGGGAAGATTGGCTCCTTGTTTCTTTTGTTCTGTCTCTTTCATCACAGCAAACAGTATCATCCCCACACGAAGCTGTGGAGCAGAGAGGCCTAGCTTTTGTTTTTAATGGAAAGGCAAAAGAAAGATTGATTTGTTTGCAAATTAAAACCCAGATAGAGGAGGGGTTTCTCCTCAGAATTGACTTGGTCATCAGGTCAGAGTATATGAAGTGAAAACCCTCATGGTATGCTTTCCAGAACCTAAAGGAAGCAGTGGTGGTTATGGCTCTGGAGCAGCTGCCCTACAGCCCAAGGGAGGTCTCTTCCAAGGAGGGGTGCCAAAGCTCCGACCTGTGGGAGCCAAGGATGTTTCAGGTACCTGATAAGTACTTTCTTACCGCATTAATTTCTGACTGGTCCCGAGTGGGCCCTCTGGGGTTGAGGAGTGTGGTAGAGGTGGGAGGAAGGAGGTGTGGAAGGAGGAGTGGAGTTATAGAGTGGAATAAAACAAAAGCTGAGGAATTAAATAAAAATATTCAGCTTATATCAGCAGTATTCATTAATGGGCTCTGAGCCTGAAACCAGGTTAAAACCCAGAGCTATACAGCTCCTTTCCCTGCTGCCGTGCAGATTGCACTAGGAGGCTCGGTGAGGTAGGGATACTGACCAACATATATCTGGCTCTGTTGATCCAGTGCTGTCTCGTGTATTTGTAGAGAACCTAGCTGGTAAGCCAGCTCTACAAGTCCCCAGTTCCCGAGCTGCTGCTCCAAGGCCTCCAGTGTCTACAGCCAGCGGGCGCCCTCAAGATGATACCGACAACAGCCGAGCCTCCCTCCCAGAACTGCCCCGGAAGCAGAGACCGTCGTTACCGGACCTCTCCCGGCCTAATACCACCAGCAGTACGGGCATGAAGCACAGCTCCTCTGCCCCTCCTCCGCCACTCCCAGGGCGGCGTGCCAATGCACCCTCTACACCTCTGCCTATGCACAGCAACAAAGCCCCAGCCTACAACAGAGAGAAACCCTTGCCGCCCACACCTGGACAAAGGCTTCACTCTGGTCGAGAGGGACCTCCTGCTCCACCCCCAGCCAAACCACCTCCTTCCCCTGTGAATGTTAGAACGGGACCAAGTGGCCAGTCTCTGGCCCCTCCTCCTCCGCCTTACCGCCAGCCTCCTGGGGTCCCCAATGGACCCTCCAGTCCCACTAATGAGTCAGCCCCTGAGCTGCCACAGAGACACAATTCTTTGCATAGGAAGACACCGGGGCCTGTCAGAGGCCTAGCGCCTCCTCCACCCACCTCAGCCTCCCCCTCTTTACAGAGTAATAGGCCTCCTCCCCCAGCCCGAGACCCTCCCAGTCGGGGAGCAGGTAAGTGCCTGGAGGCACCTTTTTTCCCTATCATACAGAAAGTTGAGTTTATCTTTCCTCTTTACCCTTTTTCCCAAAGCTCTCCTTCAGTGATTGAAGAGAATAAGAATTCACTTACTCATTCAGCAAGTTTATCAAGTGTCTTTTTATGTGTCCAGACTCTGTTGTTAGGCAAACAGCAATAAATAGAAAAGACAAAAAATTCCTGTTCTCCTGGATAGTCAAGCAAATAAATTAGTAAAAAATGTATGAATATGTAGTGTGTAGGTGCTTTAGAGAAATACAGAGCAGAGAGGGGGAATAGGATATACTGGGGTAGGGATGGAGTGATGATATTTTCAGTTGCGGGAATGGGGAGTGAGGCAGGGTCAGGGAAGGCCTTACTGATAAAGTGACCGTTTGGCAAAGACCTGAAGAAAGTGAGGGAGTAAGCTAAGCAGGCATTGAGAAAGCAAATGCAAAGGCCAGGAGACTGGGGACAGCAAGGAGGCCATCGTGGCAGGACTAGGATGACTGAGGGGAAAAGTGCCAGGATATGGAAATCAAAGAGCTGGGTTTCCACGGGAGAACATTGTAGGACTTTGTAAAGACTTGGGGTTGTACTCTGTGTGAGATGAGGAGCCACTGAAGGGGTTGGAATAGAGGAGTAGCATTGATTGATCTTTTAAAAAGATCACCAGCTCCTGAGTTGAGAACAGACTGCAGGAGAACAAAGGTGGCAAAAGGACACCACTTAGGAGGCTGTTGCAATAAACTGGGCAGATGGGTAGGACCACAGCAGGTTTGGGGGAAGGTAGGTGTTCAGGTATGGACAAGTCAAATTTGAGATGCCTGTTAGACATCCAAGAGGAAATAATGAGTAGGTGATTGGCTGTCAGACTCGGAAGTTCAGAGGAGAGGTCTGGCTAGAGAGAGAAATTTGAATGATATTGAAAACCACATGCTGGGTGAGATCACCTAGGAAGTGAGTATAGAGAGAAGAGATCTGAGGCCTGAGGTCAGAGAGATGAAGAGCGCCAAGCAGAGGAAGCTGAGAAAGAGCCTCCAGTGAGGAATGAGGGAGGGACACCAAGAGAGTAATGGAAAAACTCCAAGATAGAGTGACTGATCAGCTGTGTCTGGTGCTGCAGATAGTCAGGTAAGTTGAAGACGAGAGTGACATTGATCTTAGCAACAGGGGAGTCATTTTTGGGGACCCCCAAACAACATGGGACCCTTTTGAGTAGTTTTAGTGGAGTGGTAGAGGAAGGGTGAAGGTGGAAGTCTTAATTGGGATGGGTTCAAGAACGCAGGTATAGGAGGAAAGGAATTGGAGATGGCAATATAGAAATCCCTTAAGGAATTTGCTGCAAAGGGGAGTAGGGGGTGCAGATGAATGGTTGCTGGAGGAGGATGTGGGATTAAGGGTTGGATTTTTTTTCCCTCCATGATGAGAGAGAGTTCAGTGTCTGTATACTGGTGGAATGATCCAGTAGAGAGGGAGAAAATTGCCTGAGTAATGTCCTTGAGGAGGCAAGAAGGAATGGAATCTGATCCATAGGTAAGGGGTTGATCTTAGATAAAAACACAGTTCTTCTATGGTAACTGGAGGGAAGGCAAAGCATATAGGCATAGAAGCAAGTGGGTAGGTGGATGCAATGGTAGGAGCACGTGGAAAGTTTCTTCTGATTTGCTTCTGTTTTCTTGGTGAAATAGAAAGCAAGGACATCTGCTGTGAATGAGGGAGGGGAAGGAGAGGGAGATTTGAGAGAGAGAAAAGGGCCTGAAGTGGTCATCTGGGAGCGTGGGAGTGAACGGAGTAGGGAAGTGTGCTAGGATAACCAGCAACAGGAAGGGCCACTCGAGATTAGAGGCCGTACATTTCAAGTGAGGTTGATTAGCTCGGTGTGTATTCAGCAGTGCATTTGCAGGTACTAAGTAGGGGTAGAGTTGTATTTAACCAAGGTTAGCATTTTTTAGGCACGTGTGACTATAAGGGAGAGCTGGGCAAGGAAGTGTGTAAGGGAGTGATTGTAACAATGGGCCATGGTCCTAAGCTGGGTGAGGAGGGGATTAAGGAACCCTAGAAAAGGTAGACAAGGTTGTATAATCTTTTTACAAAATAGCATGACTGAAATGAGAGGGTGAAGGAGACCATGGCAGCTGTCTGGAGCCTTCTTAGAACCAGAAATTTTGGGTTCCATATCCTCTTGTATCATTGGGCTTTCAGCCACACCTTCCACAAATGGCTTTTGAGCTTTTATTTTAAACAATCAGTCTTTGCAGGTATAGATCATTGGTTAAGAAGTTATGTCCTCAAGAAGCACGTATTAAAAGCCCGTTAACTTGTCTTGCTGTTTGGTTAGGTACATAGAGATTTGTACTCCAGGAGCTGGCAGTCTAACATAAGGCAGTCATGCAGCAACCTGCTGCGTTCCTGACCCCGTATCTCCTTGGCTTTAGCCATAAGGATACAGTCCTAAAGTGGCCTTTGATTCTACAAAGTTTAGGTTTAAAATTTTTTAATTTTAATTTAGGGATTTTTTTAAGACCCTTTATCTGAGCAGAGCCCATATGTTTCCAACCCCATCCAGGAATAGAAGCAGAGAAAAATGTAATTTCTATGGGTTGAGCTGAGTAGTTTTAAATGTGCAGACTTCTTATTTTCCACTTCTCAGTTCTTTCTCTGTGGTTTCTTTAGAAAAATGTGAAGTTATGAGCCTTGTTCTTCTGTCCATTAAGCATCACCTACTTTGAGGGCTGGCAGAGGCCTCAGCCTGCTTTCCTTATCAGTAAACAGAGCAGCAATTCTTAAGAGTGACACACTGGAAAAAACTGAGATATTTTAGTCAGAGATCTTTTGTGTATTGGCTCTATTTGTTGTGTGATATAGGGCAAATCACTCTGATTCTCTGAGTTTGTTTCCCCATCTGTGAGATGGTGTTCACAGTACTTTCAGAGGTGGTATGTATGAAAGTGCTTTGTAAACTACAGTATGCTGATGAACATGAGTGGTTTCATGCAAAGGGCTTCCAGGTAGTTCATGGACTTATCTCTGTTATTAAATAATGTTATGACCATATTATTTGATAATGTACTTTTGTTTTCATATTATTTACATTTGAAAGAGTATGGAGTCTTTTGCCTTTCCAGGGTGCTCAGGGAGCAAAAAAATACCACATTATTGGTCTGTAGAGTTTGTTTCCTGAGTTTTTTCCTTTACAGAATAAAACACTGTCTATTTTTCTTTTGCTGAGGAAGATTCACCCTGAGCTAACATCCATCACCAGTCCTCCTCTTTTTGCTTGAGGAAGATTTGCCCTGACCTAACATCTGTTGCAAATCTTCCTCTGTTTTGTAGGTGGGCTGCTGCCATAGCATGGCCACCAACCAGCGGTGTAGGTCCGCACCTGGAAACCGAACGCGGGCTGCCAGAGCACACCAAACTTAACTGCTAGGCCACTGGGGCTGGCCGAAAACACTGTCTATTTTTAAGAGAATTTTTTCTTTTCAAAAGAATATATACCATCATGCTTTCCTCAAAATTGGGTTTATCTTAGATTATAAAAGGTGATCTCCCACCCCAAGGGTTTTTACAAACTGGTTGTTTCTTGGGGTCCTGGGTTCTGATTCTGTCACTTGAAACAGTCTTAAAACCGGTTATGACAAAGAGCTCAGAAACTTATTGGAGGTGGCAGAACCTGATTGGGATGACTGTCCCTGAAGGAGGGAGCCGAAGGAGCCAAGCAGGTCGCTCTTGGCCCTGCTCTGTTTTGCCCGTCCAGGTTGGCTCTAATCACTGCCACCTGCCCAATGTCTAGCTGGTATCTTTTTGAGCCTAGCTAACCCTGTCTGCTTTACTCTGTCTGGCCCTGCCCTAGGAATACATACAAAGTCTCAGGGTCCTCCGAAATCTGGGTTTTAGGGAGATATTTTGAGGATGACCCGAAAGACCTTTGGTTTGGGCAGATTTGGAATGAAAACAAGGCTCAGAGATCTGCTGGGAGGTGTTAAGGAGATTTCTCTTTAATTATTACCTCTAATGGCTGCTGTACATGCTTAAACAGACCTTGAAAAGAGTGAGGGAGAGTTGACATTCTGAGTGTGTCTTATAGGAAGCAAAAACTAACGTTTACTGGGCCTACAGTGCTGGATTCCTTATATATATATACATCACCTCATTACTGTTACATGCTTAACTACAGTTACTCTACAGAAATTCTGACAGTAATTCAGAAGGAATAATAAGATGTACTTTTATTACTAAAACAGTGTTGTCTGTTAAGCCAAGTAGTCTCTCCATGTACTATTTAGGTAACTACTATTTATTGGACGTGGCCTAAGTACGAAAAGACGCACTGTTCTCTCGCTGGACTGCATATTTGTTGGGGAGATAAGATACATAATACTTGCGGTAGTTATGGAGGAGCAGTGTGGGGGTGCTGGAAAGAGCAGACGTGTGCTGGGTCTATTTGTATTAGGTCTGTGACCTGAGTCCCAGTTTCCTTATCTGTGAAATGGAGACAATACCACATACTTTGCAGGGGTGGCTGTAAGAATTTTTTAAGATTTAATGCATATAAAGCACCCAGGAGAGTGCCTGGAACATAATGGATACCAAATAAATGGTAGTTACTGTTATTGTTAATGTAAAGCATAAAAGTAATACAACTTAAACACATTAGAACCTATTGCAGTGATGCTGCCATTTTTTCAGATAGGCTTTTGACGTTACCTTCAACTTGGTGGCAAATTTTTCTCTTTTAAGGGTGAATTTGATTTTTGAAAACAGCCAAAAAGCGGAGTGAGCCATAGGTACAAATACTTTTGTTGGTGGTGGTGGTGGGGCGACCTCAGAAATGGGATGTGACCATCATATAATATTTATGGATCTGTCTGATGAACTGAGTTTGGTGGCAGTTCCAAAAGAGGTATTGCCAATTTTTTTGAGCAAGAAGACTATCATTGGAGATATGTAACTTCCTCAAATGAATCCTACTATAGATATTTTGAAAATCACTCATTTTAGTCTGTACTATTCAGTGCTAGAATAAGTGACATAACCTTTATATGCTGTGGGGGAGCAAAGAAGGAGGGGATCAGAATAGAGTGGATTGCTTTGGGAAAATCACTGGAGAAGATGGGACTTGTTGAATCTTAAAGCTTAGGTAGAATTTGGTAGTAAGGGAAGAGGGATCATATTTCAGAGTATTGTGAGAGAGTCGCAAAAGCAAAGCATATCTAATTTGGTTAATTCAGCAAACGTTGATTGAGTACCTACCTTGTGCTGTACATTTGTCTGAGCTTGGAGATTCAGATGAATGGACACTGCTCTGACTTTAAGGAATACACAGTATACTGGGAAAGAGGCACATAATAATGAATAATTATAATACAATATAGTAGAGTGGTGGCGAGGTACAGAGATACAGAGTTACAGTGGACATGCAGAAGAGGGTACCTCTCCCAGTCTAGGAATTAAGAAAGTAAGAGGAGAAGGTGAGATCAGGCAGACTGATAGGGGAGGTTACTGTGTAAGAAAGGAGGATAATTGGGTGAGACTCAACTGGGGACGTAGGAAATGCAAAACCCTTGAAAAAGTTTGAGCAAGTTATTTTGGGGAGATTAGTGAATTGTGGTATGCAGAATGCATTGGAAGGGTAAGAGATTAGAAGCAAGGAGAACGTTTGGGAGGCTTTTTGCAGTGGAACAGGCTAAATGGGAGAAAGCCCTGAATTGTGGAGGAAGGCGTGGAAAAGCGGGAAAAAAAATCATCAAGAATAGGTAGACTGGGGCCAGCCTGGTGTCGTAGTGCTTAGGTTCACGTGCTCCGCTTTGGCGCCCCAGGGTTCACAGGTTTGGATCCCGGGCATGGACTGACGCACCGCTTATCAAGCCATGCTGTGGCAGTGTCCCATATGGAGTGGAGGAAGGTGGGCACGGATGTTAGCCCAGGGCCAGTCTTCCTCACAAAAAAAATAAATAAATAAAAAAGAAGAGGAAGAAGAGGTAGAGTTCTTGACTCGATTTGTCATGGGAAATGAAAAAGGGTCATACCTTTATTCTGAACTTTGGTTTCTGGAAGAATCTTGGTGATGTTAAAGGAAATAGGTGTGAGAGGAAGGTGAAAATGGTATTTAACATGCTCCTCAGAGGCTCACAGAGCCCGGTTCTTTGGGAAAGCACCCAGGTGCTCTTTTAGCCCATTTCTCTCAAATCCTTCTACCCCTTACCATCTGTACATCCAAACCTAACTGCTTTGGATTTTAATTGCAGCTCCTCCACCCCCGCCACCCATGATCCGAAATGGTGCCAGGGATGCTCCCCCTCCCCCACCACCATACCGAATGCATGGGTCAGAACCCCCGAGCCGAGGAAAGCCCCCACCTCCGCCCTCCAGGACGCCAGCTGGGCCACCCCCTCCTCCTCCACCACCCCTGAGGAATGGCCACAGAGATTCAATTACCACTGTCCGATCTTTCTTGGGTGAGTAGCTAGCTGTTTTAGTCTCATAGTTCCTGTGGTGACTTCACTAATTCCAGTGGCCACTGTAGAGTGGGGTGGTCACTTGGTATCCTCCATTCACAGCTGTTCCTCTCCTGACTTTATCTCAGACTTCTAGGCCCCATCAATTGACATCCCTTTCCATATGCTGGGCATGGTTGCTTTGGAATAGATTGAAGTAAAATCAGCAGGTGGTGTGCTAACTCTAAAGCCATCCTCTTGCTCCCCTCCATCATTCTCTGTGGTTAGCCTTTAGGTCAGAAACCGTATCCTCTTTAGGATTATTCAGATAGGAATTACATACCCTTCTAGGAAGAAGAGCTCTTTTCTGGCCCTTTAAAAACAAAACAAAACACTGTGTACACATTTATCTAGTAATCCAAAACCACTAACTAGCTGTGTTACTTTGAGGAAGTCACTTCCCTATCTGTGAAACGAGGAGGTTGACTAGATTAGGAGTGTTATCAGATGAACTTTTCCAAGGTTGTAAATGAGTCTTAGGCCACACCTAAGAGATTCTAATTCTTTAGATCTGGGATGGAGCCCCAGGCAAAGGTTGTCCAGAGGGTACGTTAGATCCTCTATTGAGAACCTCTGGAAAGATCTGTATGGTCTCTTTCAGCTCTAACACTTTAGATTCTTTAGTGGTTGACTTTTCTCCACCCCTGCTCTAATCTGTTCCTATTAGGTGGACCAGGGTTTTTGCTTTGAAGATAGGTCCTTTGGAATGTGATCAAGCTACACCCGTAGAAAATTTGAGCCCTCTTGTAGAGGGGCATGGAAAGTGGTAGTGGGGGTCATGAGATGGCTCTCCCAGCTGTGTTGCAGAGCTAAATGAGGGTGACCTGGGCCAAAAGAGAATTATCTGGTCAGCTCTCTCACTAGCTGGTGACAGATATTCCCATTTTAGGTTAATTTCTACCACTTTGTGGATTCGGTTCATTTGGTTTCCCATGGTGACAGTCTGTAAGATGATGATGTTATAGAAAAACAGAACTGTATTTCTTTCTGCTCTCATGCAAACAGCTGGGCTCCTTTCCTGTGATATGCCTGGTTTTTGATGGGAAGATTTAAAGAATCAGCTCAAAGACTTATTCTTTAATGTAAAGAGCCTTTGAGCCCATCCTCTGTACATACGAGGCATGTAGAGTGATGCTGTTACTGTCTTTAGGCACCTTGGTTTAGAGGGCAAGGCAGGCCCTCATACTACATAAGAATGCACGGGAGACTCATAAGGGGAGGATCACAAGTGGTACAGAGGTGTGTGGGAGCACAAGGAAGGGTGATAGGAATTAATATTCTGTTCCTTTTGCAGATGACTTTGAGTCAAAGTATTCTTTCCACCCAGTAGAAGACTTTCCTGCTCCAGAAGAATATAAACACTTTCAGAGAATATATCCCAGCAAAACAAACCGAGGTGAGAGGAGGAGTCATGAAAGTTTTTCCATAATTGCATAGAATGTAGAATTGGTATGCTTTTCTTAGGTTAAAATTTGCTTTCCTCATCTTCATTTTCTTAAAAAAACAACAAAACATAATCCCCAAATTGTAAAGGTTGGTGTAGAGAGCCTGTCTCTCATTTCAGGAATGATTGGGTTGTTCAAGGTCTGGTGGGTGACCTTGGGTATGTGATTTCTATTTTATTTTTTTCAGCTGCCCGTGGAGCCCCGCCTCTGCCACCCATTCTCAGGTGAAGCCTGGCTTGGTCCTGTTCCTCAGGAAAAGGATGGACCCTCTCCTCTTCTCAGATGGTCCCTTCCATTCCCCTGAAACCTGCATGAGAGCTCCTAACATGTTTCTCCAGTGCAGCCAACCTGTAGACTCCAAGCGTCCTCCCTGCTCACCTCCATCTATGCATCTTGTCTCTGGACTTGGTGATCAGACTCTTTATATTGACAGTGGGGTCTCAAACCCTGCATCCATGCATCCTCTAGCAAGCCTTGCTAGCCAGATGAGGAAAAAGCTTCCATGTCTCCCTCTTTCCTCTTGGGGAAAGGTGCCTTGTTGTGATGAATTAACTCACTGGGGCAGGATGGAGAATGCTACTCCTGCCTCCTCCTACCACTGTGGGGGGAACTTGGTGGGTATATATTAGATTTCATCATTTGGGAGGTTGGAGGCTGGCATGGCCAGGACTTCTGGGGAGTGGGCATTTTTAGTGAAACAGGAAGGGAGTTTGCAGAGAAGTGATCTGTTTTAAAGGTCAAGTTTGGAGAAAGGGCAAGGAAATGGGTCTGCTTTATTTTTAGGGGTATTTTGGTTTTGCTCTTGCCCCATGGCTCCCCCCCGTAGAGATAAGTTGGATATAAACACTAAATACTAATCAGTTGAACTAAACATCTAATAAAAAGAGAGGATGAAATAAACTGGGGATCCTTTTAGAGCTAGTCAGTTCCTCTGAAGCAAAGGGACCAGGAGCCATTTGAGTCCTCTGGGCCTCCCTACCCCATTTCCTCAGGGCGCTGAGACTGAGGGATGTTTTTCCTCCGCCCCTTCACTCCCCAAGAGAAAAGTCATTTTCATTCATTCATTCCAGATTCACAAATCCCAAAAACCTCCGGTGGGAGATAGGAAGACAGGGCCTTGGCCTTAACCTTAACCTTGAGTCTGCCTCAGTCTTTTCTGACTGGCCCTGAAGGCCACTGGCCCTTTCAGTCCTGTCCAGAAACTTCAGCCCCTGGTGGGTGCTCCAGAATGACAAAGAAGGGAACAGTGAAGCACCTTGTGGAAGGGACCAGCTCTGTGGGCTACGAAAGACTTTAACTAAGGCCTACTCGTTCCGAAGTTCACAGCCCATCTGACTGAGCAGGATCTTCCTGTTCGTTTCTCCACCACCCTTGCCTTCCCAAGACTGCAGGGGTTAACACAGCAGAGTAGACAAGGGTGAGGAAGTCTATGGGGGTAGTCAAAGATTCCTCGGTGCCAAGAAGCACAAAGACTTGGGTGAGGTGTGCCTAGTCCAGTTGATCTTCCTTGGCAGCCAGCAATATGTTGTTTCTTCTTCTTCTAAGTCCTAGGTAAAGAGCACAGAGAAAATGAGGGTTCCCTAAGTAGGAACTGAGCTTGGATGATGGGACAGGGACTTCTCCAACAGCAGGACGGGCCTCCTGGGCTCCACACACCAGATGGTTTAGTTTGCGACTGCTCTTGCCAAGTGTAGAGACTGCTCAAAGCTTGCAGTCAGAGCAGGGAGGCTGTGGCTCTTCCTTCAAATGGATAGGGAGAATCAGTTAAAAAACTTCACCAGATGCATCATAGGCTCAAAGCCCCTTAGGGGCCTTTCCGATTTATTGGATCACAGACTAAGGATCTGTGCATGGTGCCCAGTGAAACCGAAGTCTTTCCAATGCTAGATGAGAGAGGGTTCAACCTGGGTTATTTGTATGAGGGCTGCTATCCTTTGCCATCCCTGGACCACATTGACTCTCGGGGCAAACCATGATTAGGTCTGTCACCAAACTTTTTCTAATCATTCTTTTTTTATCATTCTTATTTTCAAATCTGTTAGCAGTTATCTTCCAGCAGTATCCCCAGCATCCTGAAGCCAGTAGAGCTGTGAGAGGGGATGCTGGTGGAGGGAAAAGGAGAGAGTACAGAGTTGATACTGCAGCAGAGTTCCAGGGTAGATACTGACCACTTATTGAACTTGGACTGTGAAATCTTCCTATTTATTTTTTAAATGGGAATTGATGCCTTTGTACAATGTTATCAAAGTATATCTTTTTCACCCCTTTCCTCAAACACAGAGCGTCAAAATAAGTATCACAAGAAAAAGCCAAACCCCAGCTTTTCACTGGGGCCGTCTTCCTTCCCTGTGACCTGCTGCCCCTCATATTCCACTACATTTGGACTGTGTCGTGTGGGTATTGATTGTATTTTCATATTCTTGGCCTCATGAAAAAAGGCCTCTGCCTAGATCTAGTCGGCTGGATTTTCTTCAGAACATGTTGATGACATAGTACCTATTTAAATGTCTTTGCCTTATACGTTATTTGATCTCTCTGTTAATAACAGATTTATTGTCATGTATATTTACTATTGAAGAATGGGAATGTGATCCTCATAGTTATTAATCTATTTTGTATGTTGTAAAAAGCTTGTAATATAGGTTTAAGGTGGGCTGGCTGCAAGAGCACTAAAACTTCTCACCTTTTAAACTGCTCTTTTTATCTGCTTGTGGGAATATTGTCTCTTCAGTGGAACGTTGGGTGGTCTCATGTTGAGGCTGTTGCCCAGTCCCATTAACCCCCTTATCCTCTCCCAGAAGGAAGAGACATTGCCCAACTAAGCATCAGGAAGCCGTGTTAAAAGCCCTTGTGTGGGTTTGGTTTTATGATGTTTTTCGCTAGTGGGAAAAACTAAATTCTTGCTTACTGCCCTTTCTGGGAAGCAGGGCAGTGGCCTCCAGGTTTTCAAGTGAGCTAGCTGCTCCTTTTCCCCCTCTTCTCTGGTCACCAAACGTGGATCAAAGCACTTTGATATTCCAGGTGTGATTTTCTCTGTTGTGGAGATTTCCTCCAGCTGCAGAGCCCCATCGTTTTCACAGCCTGGGCCCGCAGAATGAGCGCACTTAGGGCTACCCCACCCAATGGATGTGAGGCTGCTGTCTCCAGAAACTCACCCCAGCCCTCCCAACTAGCAAAGGCAAGGAGACTAGCCACTGGCCATTGCACTGGGGGCATCCCCTCACCCCATAGCTTCCCAACTTGAAACCCAGATTTACCTCCAGGGAGAGGTGAGAAAAAATTGTAAATAGACTTGCTACAGAGCAACTCAGGGTTGGGGTGTGTTTTATTTCTCCTGATCACTTGAAATAATCTGTAGGCTTATGGGAGTGGGGGAGAAGTGTGACTCCAGGGTCCTTCCCTTCTTCGAAGCTCTGGGGGTGGAGTATAGGGCATCTGAGGCCCTTTGATCGCACTACACTGAGCTGTCTGTCCTTCTGGAAACCCAACCTACAATCAACTGCAAATCAGATTCTTCACATTCCAGTTGTAGTCTTTCTTTCCCTGTTGAATCTCAGTCCCTGGCTATGTGGTCAAGATGGCTTTCTGTAAACCACCCTAATTTAGGGAATAGAGGCATTACAACTCTGCCTTCAGAACCCATTTCTTAAAAGCAAAAGGAAACAAAACTACAACCACCCTCAAAACACATACAAAAAAAAGGGTAACTGTTTAACCGAAGGAAGGGTTTGGTTCCATTCAACTCCACGTTCATCGTGCCTTTACTTGTGTTAGATTTCTGTGCTTTCTTCCTCTCTCCCTCTTTGAAGCAATTAAAATCTTCCTTAATAACTGCTGTTTCCTTCTTTCTACTCATTTCCGACAACCTAGTGGGTTCCCTCGTTAATTGTCTTAAACCTCATTCCCCTGGTGGCAGAGGGGTTGTTGGGCCTTCTTTTCTCGTGTCTAACCTTTGTCCTTCCCCACGGTGACCAGCGTGGAAGGCATAGTTAACACTGAATAAAAGACTAGAGTGATCTATGTGAAGAGCATGTGTGTGTATGTGTGTGTCCATCTTTGCATGTGGATCAGTTTCTTTTAAAAAAATAATTTATTGTATGATTTATTTTGGAGTTATATTCTGATTACAGCACTCCCTCTCCCAGTTAGCACTGATTATTTTTCCCCCTCTACAATGTATAATCTGGTCTCAGGTTGGATTCTTTGGTACATTTCTTTCTTCTGGATGCCGTGCAGTTTAATTAAACCTTGCTTAAAAACAAAAACACAAAACTGAAAACTGTGTACTCTTGTCTGGAATACCACCCCAAGTGGTGGCATAGAGAGGGGAGAAAATCTGTTGCCTCAGGTTGGTGTAGGGGTTTGACTCCAGGTCCTTTGAGAAAGCAGATATACTGACTTGGGCAGAAGCATCTGTAGCTCCTGGAGGGTTTTTTTCTCCTTTCCTCCTGCTGTGTTTTGAAAATCACAGTTCTAGTTAGCCGTGCTGACTGACTGATTCTGATCCAGTTGGTAATTATTTATATTTGCCACCTAACTCCGCTTTGCCACTGATTTCAGGGAACCCAGGAGACCCGCTGGCCTGTGTCCTTTCCTTTTATCCCTTATGATTCTTTCCCTTTGTGTTGCATGGCAGATTCTCACACTGGAGTGTGGAAGAGAAGGTGGGGGCAGAGCATACAAGATTGTGTGTGTCTATTTTTATGTGGGTGTTGCCTTTTTTTCTTCACTGCTTTTTAAGTTGAAATCTTAGCTGGCTTTCTTGAACTTTGACTTTAGGTGTGAAAATTGAACCAGACATTCTCTGCTTACTGTGGTCAGCTGACATAATCACCACTAAGACTTAATGAGCTTAACTTGCACTTTCACCACTAGCAAAGGTCTTGAAATTATTTCCCATCCTGATTCATACTGGGTGTGTGTATGAATCACTCACATAATTTAGATGTAAAAATCTATGAGGGTAACGGAGGGAGGGGGGAAAAAAGGCCCCCTTTCATTTTCACTCATATGTGCCAGATTGGACGAGTTCCTGATTATTTGACCCACCATTGTTATTAATATGATAAATAAACTATGTATTTATTGATTTAATTATTCTTCCTATGACTTTAAATAGCTCTCAAATGGAGCTTGCCTAAATGACCCTCAGCTTCGTAACCCTATAAGCTTTCTCTGCCCTGTTGGGATGGTATTGCTAGTCTGCACATGCACATGTGTGTGTGTACACACACTAAAGGATGCTGAACAGGTCCTTCCAGTGTGATCTGATTCCTTTCCCCATGATACTTCTTATGAATTAGTGGGTGATTAGGACACTAGTTTGCCCATTCTAATTATTACTGGGACATGGCTGCTTATTGTGAATGTGCCTCTTAAGTATTTCCTGGCCCACCCCACCCACAAACTGTGCGACTCACTGCAAGGAAGCTGCCTGTCTCTGACTTCCTATTACTCTGCAGACAGTGGTAAGAGAACTAAAATGTCAACCTCAGGATCCTAACCACCCCAGAGGATAACTGGGGAAATGCTTCACCTCTGATACCACTGGAGCCCAGTCTGGGTCACTTTTACACGTAATTGAATTCATCCTCCACTCGTAGGTTTAGGGGTGTGCCATTTAAAGGACTACATACTATCCGACCACAACAAGTGTTCATGAGAAAGGTGTATATCCACTTGGCAAGAATGTACTTTCTGTTCATTCAGCAATCACTTATTGCATACTTTACTCTGGGCCAGGTACCTACAATATGAAGATGAGTAGGACCTGGTCTTTGCCTCCAAGGAACTCAGAGTCTAGTAGAAGACTTCAGGACAGCTACCAGGAGAAACCTATGTAGGGTATTAAAAGGCTTTATGGTAATTAGCCAGGGAAGGAGGATGGTGAGCAGAATTTCAGAGGAAACAGCAAGGACAGAGGCACAGAAGCAAGAAAGTGGTGGTATGTGCATCACGTTACTGGAGTATTGGAAGGGAAAGCTTCAAGTGTAACCTTTTAGAGACCTTTCAATCCTGATGTTCTGTGATTCTCTGCCTGCTTTTATAGTGGTCATTTAACTTTTGTAGGCTTTTCTTGGATCAGTGCTATATTTCCTGGTGAGTGTTTTCACAGGCTCCAACATGCACGTTAAGTTCTCATAGCTTCCTTTGCTCCCTCTATCCCACTGTAACTGAGGGAGGTTGTTCACCACCATCCCTTAAAGCTGGCTAGGCATATTACCATTTCAGGTTATTAAGGACAATTTTAGATGCCCAGGTTATAAAAATAACTATGAACAGTGAAGGTTGCTTCCTGGTCTCTCTTGCCCTATTAAGAGATCTGAAGTACCATTTGGTCGAAAAGCCTCCGTTCTGTGGTAACCATTTTTCCATTCACAGCAGCCTAATGTCTTCAGTCTGTAGTGTTCAGCTCCTAGAAAGCCTTCCCAAAATGTGCTCCTTCACCATCTCTTCCTATTTAAAAGGCCACTTTAGAACCTACATCTGTCTAATCCTTTCCCTGTGTTAAAGTGGTCAAGAGTTTGATCTCTTGTCAGACTTCCTGAGTTCAAATTCCAGCTCCTCTATTTACTACTTGTGTGACCTTGGGCAAATTTACTCAACCCCCTCGGTTTCAGTGTCCTCATTTGTAAAATGGAAATAATACCAACTTCATGGGGTGCTTGTGAGAATAAGGGGATATAGGTAAAATACATGAGCTCAACCCTTGGCATACTATTAAGTACTTAAGCCTCTTATCTCCTGTGTTAGCCTCCTCCTAACTTAACTGACGATTGTAATGTTGTTTTCCTATTTCTTGGCTTTATTGCTCTATTTCATTTGTTGTTGAAGGATGAAAGATAAATGCTTACCATTACCTAGAATTGGGTTCCAGTCTTGAATGGAACTTGAGGTAGCTAGGTTATTAGCTTTGGAAGCTGGCCTGTAAATTTATTTATTTATTACTGCTCTAATTTATATTTTTCATTAAAAGCTCAGCTTGCCTCTTCTATCGCGGTCTTCTCTGGCCTTGAAACCCTAGTGTTTAGCCATAAAAAAGATTTTAAAATTAAGGGGCCGTAATTCTCTCCACTCCCCACAATGTGTGGATTAATGGGATGAATGATAAGGTGCACAGAAAATCATATTCTTACCTTTAACAAAATAAAAGCAAAGGCCTGGCTCTATTTCTCACCTTCAAAACACAAATCAGGGAGGATACTGTGATGAAATGTAGTGTATTTCTTTATGCATGTGTAGAACTTTACAAAAAAAGCATTGGGGGCGGGCCCAGTGGCGCAAGTGGTTAAGTGGGCGCGCTCAGCTGCGGCGGCCCGGTTCGGCGCCTGGGCGCACACTGACGCACCGCTTCACAAGCCATGCTGTGGCAGTGTCCCATATAAAGTAGAGGAAGATGGGCATGGATGTTAGCTCAGGGCCAGTCTTACTTAGCAAAAAGAGGAGGATTGGCAGATGTTAGCTCAGGGCCCATCTTCCTCACCAAAAAAAAAAAAAACACATTAGTTTGGGTGTCAGGAAATCTGGTTCGTAGGCCCCTCACTGCCACCAAAATGCTGTGACCTTTAATTAACCCTCTGCACACATGCTTTGTGCCTTGCCGTGTTGAGCATTAGATAAGTAAAGCGCCTAGCATCATGCCTGGCACCCTGACCCGCCCCCAAAATGGTAGGTATTATGTAGTAGCTCGTTGAAGATCCAGCCCATTAGGATAATAAAAATGGGTACGAGCAACAGTGAGAATGGGCAACCACATCTTTACACCGCCCCTCTAAAGAAGGGCATGGAAATAGAGTCTTGCGCGGCAGACTACATTTCCCGCCGGCCTTTGCGGCGTGGCAGGGCCGCCTTACCCAGAGTATCCGCCGCCACCGCGCGTCTTTCCACGGAGGCCCCGGATGTAGATGCCGTCATGGCTCACTGGGTGTGACCTCACGGTGGCGCTGAGATCTGGGGCTGTCTTATTGGTTGTGGGCCTTCCAGCTGGATTGGACGCCAAGAAGGGGGCGTTGGCCAAGGCGCGCGGGGCTCTGGCGACACCCAATCAGAAACCTGGCCGGGCCTTGGCGGGAGGCGGGAAAGCTGCGGCAGTGGAGATTTGGCGCGAGCGCGGCTGGGCTTTGCTGCTGCCGGTGTGTGGTTCACTCAGGAGCTTGTGGAGAATCCCTGAAGCCGTGTGCGAGAGACGTGAGAGGCAGCCGGCACCGAGGTGACGCAGGCCTGGGAGATGGAGAGGAGAGGATTGCTCGGGGAGGCCTGGGGTCTGGGAGGCAGCGGAGTAGGGTGAGGGGCTGTGGCGAGGACCGCGGCTTCCCAGCAGGCCCGAGGTGAAGCGAGGGGAGGAGAGCTCACCGCGGGAGGTCTGAGGTCGGGGCGAGGGCAGGGGGATGTGCGCCCTCGGAGTAGTCTGGCAGTGTGCGTGGGGTAAAGAAGCTGAATGTGGTAGAGGAGGGCGATGTTCCCCGCGGGGGCTTAAAGTTGTGTGGAGTGGGGACCCCGTGCAAAGTGAGGGCTTGGGGAAGACTGAATGTGAAAGGTTGCTGGGCTAAGCTGGTGATAAAGATCTGCCCCCTCCGTGGAGTGAGGGCATCGGGAGTAGTCTAGAAATCAATTAAGGTAAACTTCTTATTGCATTGCTCAACTGGTTGAGAACTTGGGCTCTAGAGCCAGAATGCCCGGGCTTATATCCATACTTTGCTGTGTCTTTGGGCCTCTGTGCCTCTCGGTTTTCTCATCTGGAAGATACGGATAGTAATAATAGTACCTACCTCTAAGGTATGTGTAAAACTTAAACGAGTCAATACTTAAAATGCTTATAACAGCATCTTACACATAGTAGGTAGACAACAAGTGTTCCCTGTTATTGGATGTGAAGCAGAACTGAAGGCTAAAATATTGTTATAACATAACTTACTTATGAAATGAGTGTTGATCATCCGTATAAATTCCTATGTTAGTTATTTTCCCTTCACTTTTACCTATTGACTGGCTGTCCTGTTCTCTCTTTTGTACCCAG